TTTTTTTTTTTTTTTTTTTTTTGTTTGTCTCGTGGTGTTTCAGCGGTTCGGGAACATGGCTGGAGTTTTCCAAGTGATGGCGTTCGGAGTTCGAGCTCTCGACAATAGAGACGTTGATTCCGCTTTCATGGCGAAGCTCGCTAAGATTGCTACCGCTGAGATGATTTCCTCTAAGGTGAGTAGCTGCAGTAGTAATACTAATAATGGACTGAATTCAGTGCCAATCACCTTTTTCTTTTTATGTTTTGGTTTAATGGGAGTAAGTTTAATAGGAGTAAGTTTTCAACTACTCCAATTAATTATAGAATGGAGCACGTGGATGGAGATGCCTCGTGCCGAAGAGGAAACGTTCTGTGAAGTCCGAGGGCTCGAATTGATCGTCTGGGACAGTTGTCGTTCTGAATTGATGAAGGATACTTTTAATTTTTTGTTTCCTTTCACCAAAACACAAGGACTTCCTTTTTAACGACATTTTCCCACTTTTTGATAGAAAATTTTAACAACACATAACATAAGAAGTTAAAACAGCAGCAGGAGAAAAAACGGTATGCTACAGTGAATGTTCATAAGAAGGAAAATAAACAATAAAAAAAAGGAAAATTGCACCAACATAACACTGATCACCATTTCTGCTGCATATAGCAAAGGAACGTCCTAAAAGTTCATAAGTTGAGCATCAAAATGACACCAAGAAAGCAGCTTTGTTCCATAAAATTGACACAGATTAATAGTCCTTGAAGATTATGGGATGTCTCTCCAAATTGCAAAGACTCTTACTTTTTGTAAGAAATTAATTCATGTCATTACCACCTAATGTGGATGTGGTCTATGATGTATCGGGTGTGGTCAAATTAGATCCAAACAGTAGTATATGAGGGTTAGAAGGTGTTTGAATGGTGAATGAGAGAACCGCCAAGGAGTCAGAGCAATGTACCAAAGTTTGGGGAGAAAGGTGACATTCACCTGCAAACACTCTGATGTCCAAGTTAGTGAGTAGTAATTTAGCAGACTAATGGTGAGTAAAAAAGGGAATCTGTTTGTACCTGGTGATGTTGAGGGTTTTATAGGCTGATATAAACAATCATTAGAGTGAGTGAGGTTGTTATGCATGTAGGCAGCTTGTTACAGTATCTGTCAAGATTGGGCAGGTTTGTTATGCTTTTGGTGAATAAGTTGGTAAACTCATGATCAATTTGGCTTTGATTTATTAGTTGGTTTGTGACTAACGTGGGTGTCTTTTTGCTTTGCGTAACTGCCTCGTAGGCTTAAGAGGATTCTGAGTGATTCAAGGTCTGAGAAGCCCTTGGCCTTGAGGTAGTCAGGGCTGAGGTATAGGTTGTCCCTTAGACCTTAGATGAGTTCCAGAACAGAAGGTTTGATAATTGATGTTACCTTCATGCATTGATTGATTTTGTTTCATTGTTCTCTGTGGTAGAAGAGGAAAGGAAGATTATTAAGGTGATCATGATTATTTGCTGATGTTGATTTGAAGTTAGAAGATAATTTCCTTAAAAAATATCCTGTCTGAATCTTGGGAACTTTTTTGGATGCTATTTTACATGGTAGTTTCTTGGGGATATAAGAACCATTCTTAGGTCTTCATATAACAGATGGTTTAAGTTGAACAAATAAGGTTACTTTTTAAATAATGACAAATAGTTATTCAAGGTTTGAAATTTAGCTGTTAAAATTTTGTTAGCTAATTAATTAGCAGCCCGCCCTTCATTTTCCACAGGGACAATTAATTGGCTGGAGATTGAAGGGATGCAAGTCTGCTACATGCTTGGCATTTTATTGATGGTTTTAGACATATGCATGCGTTGCCTGAAAAGTGAATACACTATAGTTTGGTTACTATGAAATTGAAAAATGTGTTACTGCATATGTAGTTGGAACTAACATAGTTTAGATAAAGGAGGGTTCTTTTGTTCTTGGGCTATGGTTTGAACCTTCTTACATCATTGGTTGGTGCTCAAGATATTAAAGAACATGTTTATCATAGAATATGGCTTATGGCTAGGCCTAGCTTGTGTTTTGACTTGAGTGAGAAACCAGATAATTAGATAATTGCTGTCAAAGTTAATGTGGAAGGAGCTCCAAGAAGTTGTAAGTTGTATGATACTTTCAAGTATGAGAGTTTGACTAACTTGGCAAGGATTGTAGAAGATCTTGACTGTTTGATCATTTAGTTTATGTTGGTGTGCAAACTAATATGCAGGATTGTCCAGCTTGACTCTGTGTTCCCAACTGTTTGAGGTTAGCTGTAGTGCATTCCCGTTGTTTGTTATTATAATAACTTTACTTTCTGAAACCTGAATTTGGATATTTATTATTTAACAAGTAAATCCCTGTGGTGACTAGGATTATTGTTCTACACCACCATATGTATCCTGTCTTTCCTCTGTTGGAAATTACTTTCAATCTATAACTCATTGTTGGATCCTTCATTATGTGTTATTTTCCATCTGATGGCTTCATCAGATTTGGTATGTTACTGCTCCTGCTTTATTAGATTTACATTGGTTGTCTTCTGCAGGAACTAAATTCTGATTGGCAACGAGCAGCAACAAGCCTACTTGTTGCAATAGGCTCACATTTACCTGATCTTGTGAGTTATCTTCTTTTTCTTTTCAACTATTAAAAGTAGTTATTTTTTGTATTAAAAATTTTAGTTCTAAAGAAAGGAAAGATAAGGTTACAGAGCTAGAAAGACAAGTAAGACAGAATGAAAGATCAGTAGCATGCAGCCCTACCGTAGTACAGTCTCTTTTTTAATTACCTGTGTGTTAAATCAGTCTAAGTAGAAAATCATTATGATACTCCAGAGTTTTTACTTTATCTCTTGAATTGGGAATTACTTCCTCTGGTCCTTATTATAAGACACTTTTAACTGAATGATTTGGATTAATATAAGTAGTTAAGTTGATTTTATTGGATTTATAAAACAAAAATCATGATGTACCAAATATACACTTTTTACTTATCATTAAATTTTGATAAGAAAGGTAAAAATATGACTTCATATCAAAGCTTATGCACTAAGACCAATAAAATTGGTAAGTGACAATTGGAAAGTTTAAGAGGTGAGCGAGAGAACAGTTATTTATCAAATTCTCTTCTCATTATTTAACAAAAGATAAAAAATAAAATTAATGCTTTGTAGAAATTGTAAAGTGCTTTATAAAAAGGATCACGATTTCCTTCTAAATTGTGCTTTATAATAAGAACCAGAAGGAGCATAACAATATTTTTCTATCATGCTAAAGTAAAATTTCTCATTCATTTTACTTTCTTGTGATGTACTGCTGGATTTATTTATTTTTTATATACTTTCTTTCACACTTCTCCTAGTTTTTTCCCTGGATTCTAAGCTGGATTCTTGGTCTTATGTCTTTGGTCTCCCTTTTCCTTAATGGTGTTGCAGATGATGGAAGAAATTTTTCTTCATTTATCTGGGACAAATTCAGCATTACAGGCTATGGTTCAAATCCTTGCAGAATTTGCTTCTACTGATCGTTAGTAATCAAATTTTACAATGTGCTTCAGCTGTCAAATTTTACTACGGGGCCACATTCTAAGATAAACACTGATGTGTTTTCTTCCTTATAATTTTGATACAGCCTTGCAGTTTATTCCACGTTGGAAAGGTGTACTTTCACGAGTTTTGCCAATTCTTGGAAATGTGCGAGACATGCACCGACCAATTTTTGCAAATGGTATGGTGATTTTTCTATTAATTTGTTGATGGGTGTGTAATAGAAGCATTTAATGTTGTTACCCTTCCAAGTGGCTTAGTTAATGTATCTAAGTTGTGATATTTTAATTGTTCTTTTTGAAAATAGTTGTAGTTATTTATCTTTGTAACCATTCTTATTATAAATAAATCAATCTGCTGAGTGGAAAAGACACTCGAGCACATTCAGAAAATTTCCCTTTTCAATTTTAAACATATTCTTTGATATCTTGTGATGATTTATCGAGAACTGGTTGAAGTTTCAGACAAGTGCAGTTTACGTCTAATTTGTCTGGCCAAATTTAAGTACACTCAAATTTACTTTTTTTTTTATTTATAAATTTTTATTTATTTATTTTAAATATTATATATATATTATTTTATTTTTAACTTCATTCCATATTTAAGACAGCATAATAATAATACTGATAAATGTGAAACTGGCAAACCATAATCTATAGAATTTTTAAATGGCAGTGCATCTCATGATTTTTGAAATTTTGAAGAGACCTTGGCCAAGAAAAACAGTTAAGGATAAAATTGGAGGTATTAGTAGGCTAACATTTTGGATGAATGGTATGGTTTGGTTGGAGATTGAAGAGAGAGACATATGAGTAAAAATTGTAACTGGATACTAAAATGTATAGTAACCCCTCATATTTATATTGCTAGGTTAAGTATATACAAGCATATGGGCCAAGCCCATATACATACTAAAAGGTGTAATTGCTACATATAAGCTGATCTATTTAACTCATCATTTGTTATTGTTTGCAGCATTTAAGTGTTGGTGTCAAGCTGCTTGGCAATATAGTATAGATTTTCCTTCACATTTTCCCCAAGATGGCGATGTCATGTGAGATCAATATATAGCTGTCTAGTTTATTTTCTGAATAAATGCATCAAGTTTCCCTTATTTCTTGTCTGAAGATGAGAAATACCTCTGTGTAGTGCAGGTCATTTCTAAATTCTGCTTTTGAACTTTTGTTGAGAGTTTGGGCAGCTTCGAGAGACCTAAAGGTTTGTCACTAACACACTATTATCTTGCTCTATTTCTATTTTATTTTATTTTTTATTCTACTGCTTATATGATTCTCTATTCTTTTTATTGTATATTTTTTCCCCCAATTCATCTATCTAAATTGAGTTTCTGAACACATTGTGTGTAGATGAATTGAAAGTAGATAAGTATTTTAATGTGTCATTTACAAGATCTATTTGCCTGATTGTTACTGATCTTCTTCATATTTGATTGATCATTTTAACTTATCTGGTTTTAGGTTCGTGTGGCATCTGTAGAAGCACTTGGGCAGATGGTGGGTCTCATAACACGAACACAATTAAAGACCGCCCTACCAAGGCTTATTCCTACAATATTGGATTTGTAAGATTGATATGCGGGAAACATTTCCTGTTTTAGTTCTCTATTATTCTTGTTTAATAAGTGGTTTCTCATAAGATCAGAATATGAAAGATACTTATAATACCAACACGTATTTTAGGATGGATTCATGTTCATATTCTATGCTGTCAGGTATAAAAAGGATCAAGATATAGCTTTTCTGGCTACAAGTAGTCTCCACAATCTGTTAAATGCCTCTTTACTGTCAGAAAGTGGCCCTCCTATGCTTGATTTTGAGGTAATGAATTCTATAAAGTTCTTGTTTAAAAATTTTCGAGGCATGTTTAGTTTTTTATGGTACTTCTGCTTATTTGGTAATCTTTAATCAAAACCTACAATTTGTCTTTGATTTGTTTTCGCATAATTTAGGTGATGGGAGGGTCACCGTGTTGTTTTAGGGTGTACCACGAACATCCATGCCTTGTTTATAAATTATAATTTCTATTTTTCTTTGTTGTTTTTGGGTTAAGCACTTATTTGTTCTGAAATCTAATATATATTTGCATCTCGTTATGGTCATAGAAAAAGAGTGATAACTGCTTTTTGGTTGAATTTTTGTCGTTTTGCTACTGAGTAATGTGGTGGTCTTAAGAGAAATTTCCCCCCTTTCTGATACGGGGGAGGGACAGGTTCATAAGCATACAGGAATACCTGCTTATTTATATTCAAATAAATCATTTCAATATATACACAAATCAGTGAAATCACACAAACATTATTGAGTGGGGGTCAGTTTATAATTATGTTTGGCTTTTATATATACAAGAGAGCCATTAGTGAAGTACGGGGGAAGGGAGAAGAGCTTCCGGATGCAACCATAGTACCATATGTAAGAAAAATAAAATGAGACAGAATAGAAGTTAAGCCACGGAGCAGGATCTTGCTGGGAGTCAAAGATGAAGAAAACATAGATTTTTGTTTTAGAGCTGCAGATTTCTGAGATGTCATTCATTATTCCTCAGCAATGAAATGACATCGGATATATATTGTATCTTTTTATTTATTTATTTTTCTTATTAGAGAATATCCAACTTTTAATAAACTGGTTGGTCCACCAATTTTTTTACTGGTTTCAACTGGTTGGACCGGTTCAGTGGTTGTGATTGAATCATTGAAGCCCAATTGGCATGCCGTCCAGTTGACAGTGGAACTGGTTTTGAAAACACTGGTCAAGATTTATTGCCCCTCGAAACATCTCTGACATATATATATATATATATTTTCCTTTTTCTTTTTGATGCTTTAGGAATCACCTATTGAATGACGTACTTATTTAAGACTCTCAATTCCTCTTGGAACCATGGACACACTCCAAACATCATGCTGTATTTATAAATAGTATATAATTTGTGTGTATAGTTGGGTACTTCAGGTACAATTTGTATAGGCCATGATACATGTTTCAATTTCTTAAATAAAATAACATTGTTTTGCTGCAAGATTTCCTACAAGCAAAAGACATGAAGTAGAAGGTCCTTGACAGAGAGGATACTTCTCGCATGCTCTGCCTATATAGTTTGAACATCTCCTTTCTCTTGTTTCTTTCCCAAATTTCCCTTTACGTTGCTGGTGGTTTTCCATAAATTTGTTCTGCTGTTTAACACCTCTGGCATGTTGCTTTTCCTCTCCAATTACTTTCTTAATTTCATGTATATAATTATATATTTTATGTACTATATGTTTCTATGCCTTTATATTTGGATCTTTAGAATTTTTTGGTATCCTTGTACTGTATTTTCTCAGGTTTGTACCTGTGCAACAACTTAAGATGCCTACATAAATGTTGCTAGTCTAGATTGTATGCTTCCCTTTGAATAAAAAGGTGCTTCATCTGTGTCTTGCTGGAATTTAATCACTTGAGAAATTTAAAGAAAATCATTGGTTGCAGGATTTGACTCTTATTTTATCAACACTTCTACCTGTGGTTTCTATCAATAATGACAGCAAAGACCAATCAGATTTCTCTGTGGGACTAAAGGTAATGCTATTGATTTCATTTATTGGAAACTTAGAATTATTTAAATTGATAATTACTGTAGCACCTGTTGCTGCTAAGTTCCAGCTTTATTCCTCTTTTACCAACCCTCATTTTTTATTTCTTTGAATTTAAGGGTACATGTCTTTTTAGTGTCTATGGGTTATGTTACTTTTTTACTTGGAGTTCAGTTTCAGTTGGAGGCATATAGGTTAGTTTACTTTTTTTCTTCTTTCAATTTCCTGGTGCCTTTTGCATCGAAGGTGATGGCTGATTGTGGCTGTGTAGGTCAGTGTTATTTGTCAATTGTCATTATCATTTTGTGGAGATGTTCTTTGTCTGTGGGGTTGATATAGTTGTCTAGAATTCAATGTAAGGATTTTTAGCCTGTATAACTTGTCTCTGATTTTAAGACAGAGTTGTCTTCTTTGACTTCCTTAAGGACTAGAAGGAAAAACTCCTCTAAGCAAGGAATGATGTATTCACCCTTAATAGTGGATTAAGGGCACAGAGTGTTTTATATTAAAATCAAGGGTGGGTGGATACATCTGTACTTGCTCACTTTAGAGGTGCTGTATCTGGGTTAGATGGTGCGTTCATGGGTTGCTTTTTGACACATGCAAAGGGTTTGGGCTTTGGAGAGTCATTTGAAATGATAATTCTCCCTCTTGTTCATTCTTTTGTGGATGTCATTGGAGGTATATCTTTGGCTTTGTGCTTGTTGTTTCTCTTCCATTTATTTTCTTTCAGGTAAGGATGTATACACTTTTAATTTAAAGTGTATCATAATCTTAAGCTACTAAAATTTAAGGTTGGATACACCTTTATTTGCTCACTTTGAGACTATCAATTTAGAAAAGTTTTTTCCTTTTCTATTATACATAGTAAAAAAGTTCAATATTTGATTTATTCAATTACGTATGACAGATGTATAATGAGGTTCAGCATTGCTTTCTGACAGTTGGCTTGGTGTATCCAGATGATTTGTTTTTGTTCCTTGTAAATGTAAGTACTTACAAACTTGATAGTGTATCTGTAATCAGGCATGGTGTTAATTCTTGACAAAGTAATTTTTCTTTCCCGCCCGCCCCCCTCTTTTCCTGTAGATGAAAAAGAAATTTTACTAAGATTAAAAGAGAAATAATATAATAGCTGAGGATAGATGAATTCAACATAAAACATCAAGCAAAATTAATTAAATTACTGGAAGAAGCTTTAATAGAAATTTTAAATTAGATGAAGCAACTTCAAATTAGATAAAATAATCAATCAAATCAGGGGATGCTTTTTTTTTTTTTTTTTTGTCTCATTTTGGTTGGTATGTTTACAATTAGATTAATAAATACAAAAAAAATACTTTCTTGTTTGCAAAATTTATTGAAGGAAATTTAGAAACCAGGAATCAGGATTAAAATAAGGTGGCATTTTTATAATCATTAAAACTTATCAGCTAAAATGGAGACAGTAAACAAACCAAACATCAGCTTAGGGTGTATTTGGTTTGTTTTTTGTTTTTTATTTTCAATTGATATGCTTTCACTAAAAATTTCACAAAAGCCACATTATTTTCTAAATCCTGAAAACAGGAAATGAAGTGAAAAAATGTGGCTTTTTTGTGATTACTAATATAAACTGAAAATGAAGACCAAACACACCCTTAGTTTTTGTATCTTGTTTCTTCAATTTAAAATTGTTTAAAATATATGTTTAGTCACTCAAAATGTTTTGAAATGTTGGTTTTAAGCCGAATAAAAATTATATTTTAGTGCCTACATTTAACAGAAACACTTGTTTTTAGTCCCTAACAAAGGACTAAAACAGTGAGACCACATCAGTTCTGGTAAATGTGGGGGACTATAAAATTTTTATAGACATTAAAACCAACATTTTAAAATATTTGGAGGGACCACAAAAAAACTTTATCCTTTAAAATTTAATTGTATTCTGTCTTCTGTGTATTGTTGTTAGTATGTTCAGTTCCAGGGGGCATTTTATTGTTAGTGTATACCTTGGTTCTCTCTCAGTTTTTCTATTAAAGTCTCTTCCTTTTCTGTTACTTGTAACATGTCAAAATTATGCTTCTGCCTATTGTCTCTGTTTCCAGAAATGCAGGTTGAGGGAAGAGCCATCAACTTTTGGTGCACTTTGCATTTTGAAGCATCTTTTGCCAAGGTTTCTTCCTTATCTAGTCCCGATGATAATTATTTGCAATTATCTAGTATAAGTTAACCTACAATTCTTAATTGAAGGCTATCTGAAGCTTGGCATAGTAAAATACCTCTACTAGTCGAAGCTGTAAAGTCCTTGCTTGAGGAGCAGAATTTAGGTGTTCGGAAGGCACTTTCTGAGGTATGTCTTCACGAACCATTTTCTTTTGTTGTTTTTTTAATATTTAAATAATGCAATCTGTTATCTTTCACTAATAAGTCAATATCCTTTGGCTTCTCTTCCTTTCTCATTTATTTATAGTTAATTGTGGTTATGGCTTCTCACTGTTACTTGGTTGGTTCGTCTGGAGAGTTGTTCATTGAATATCTTGTACGGCATTGCGCTATAACAGAGCAAAATCGGAGTGATCTTGAGAGCACACCAAATAAGAGAATAGAGGTATCCCACAAAGCAAAAAATTGCAAGCGAAGTACATATCTTTGAATTGCCATGATTTCTCATGTTTTTTAAGTGAAATTTGGAGCTTAATACCAATTTTTTTTTTGCTGGTACATGTGTATATTTGCTATTTTCTTGGATGTAGTAGTCTTCTTTGCTCCAGTGTTTTAGGGAGTTACCTATGTTGATATGATTGGAAGGCTCTGTTGTTTTAAGCTTTCTAGTCTCTTTTTCCCCTTTCAATTTAATGTTAAACATTATCATTATTTTTTTCCTTCTCTTTTATCATAAAATTTCTTTTACTTTAAAACCAGAATATTGACAGGAATATTTCTTGTACCACTCTGGAGTAATTTTATTTTATTTACCATAGACCCTTAACTCTGGGTTGTTCTTAGATGAAGATTGGAGCAGTTACTCCTAGTGAGTTAAGAGCAGTTTGTGAGAAAGGTCTCCTTTTGGTCACTATTACGATTCCTGAAATGGAGGTAAAATTTACCTTTTTCCCTTTGTGATCAGTTTTGTGGTAGTTATTTATTATTTGCTAATTTTACTGGAAAAATAATGTTTTGAATTAATATTTGATTGTACAGCATATTCTTTGGCCTTTTCTGTTGAAGATGATTATTCCGCGGACCTATGCTGGTGCTGTGGCGACGGTAAAAGTTCTATATCTAGTAAAATTTTTGTAGGGAATTTCAACTTGATCTTCAGATGCTTGACTAATTTTATCTATTCGTGTTGTAAGATTTGCAAATTGTATGGATATATGCATGTACTGTGTAAGTGATGTTTTATTATTGCAGTAAGTTTTCCTTGGCAAATTAGAAGACATCATTACTACTTTTACAGGTGTGCAGGTGTATCTCAGAATTGTGGCGGCATAGGTCATATAACAATGATATGTTGAGTGAGTGTAAAACCCGTTCTGATATACCAACTGCTGAGGTAGGATCTCTTTAATAGTTTGATTTTTTTAAAAGAAAATTGTAATTACTTGTACTTTCAATTGTTAAAGAAAAAAGTCATTGTTTGCTATATTCAGCACATATCTGGTTGAATGCTTTTTGCTTGTATAGGAACTTCTTGCCCGTTTGGTGGTGCTTTTACATGATCCTCTAGCAAGGGAGCAATTGGCCACCCAAATTTTGACAGTGAGATGACATCCTTTAATATTGCACATTCATCCTTTTTAACTATTCTTTGATGTATTGTCACATAGATAGTCCTTCAGCATGTTGTAAGAATATACCAGTAGGTCAGGGAAATATGATTGTTTTGTAATGGTGCAATGCTGTAACTTGAAGTTGAAGGTTTGAATGAAAATATTTTGGCATGTGTCATGCACCTCCAGATCTGAATAGTATATATGAGAGAGAATACAAAATAAGAGTAAAAGGGATGACAACATATCCCCTTGTACAAGTTAAAAGAGAGAAGACAGTAAAAAGGAATAGCCTTGTACAAAGACAAAATATAAAAAATGAAATACATACCTAACAATATATAATCTAAAACTCCAACTCAAGTTGGAGCATATAAATTGTATGCACCAAGCTTGGAACACAAAAACTGGATTCTAGGTCCCCTCAAGGATTTTGTCATGATATCAACAATTTGATCTCTAGAGTTGACAAACTTGGTGACAATTTCCTTGGACAACAACTTATCTTTAACAAAATGACAATCCACCTCGATATGTTTAGTCCTATCATGAAACACTGGATTGCAGGCAATGTGAGGGGCAACCTGATTATCACAATATAATTTCATTGGTTGAACTTCACACAAGTTCACAAGTAACCAAAGCCATAGATTGATATTCTGCTTCAACAATAGATCTAGTAACAACATTTTGTTTCTTGCTCTTTCAAGATATGAGATTCCCACCACCAAATACACAGTATCCAGAAGTAGAAAGTCGGTCTATAGGACAACTTGCCCAATCAACATTGTAATACCTAGACACTTGGTTGTCTCCCTTATATAATCAACCTTCACCCGGAGCCTTTTTGATGTATCTAAGAACACGTATGACAACATTCCAATGGTCAATGTGAGGGGCTTGCATGAATTGACCAACAATTCCTACAACAAAAGAAAGATTAGGTCTTGTAATTGTAAGATAAATAAGTTTACCAACCAATCTCCTATATTTCTCGAGATCTGCAAATGGTTCATCTTGATTAGCTATTAACTTTTCATTAGATCCATAGAATTGTCAATGGGCCTATAATTAATCATGCCTGTTTCCTCCAAGATGTCTAGGGAATATTTCCTTTGGGAAATCATGTTGCCCTCCTTCGATTGGGCAACTTCAATGCCTAGAAAGTATTTTAGGCAATCAAGATCTTTAGTCTGGAAATGACTAAATAAGTGCTTTTTTAGCTGCATCATTTCCTATAATTACTATGTCATCAATATAAATAATCAGATAAACGCACTTCCTAGGAGAAGTATGACAACAAAAAACTAAATGGTTTGCTTCACTTTTTCACAAACCAACTGAACAATAGTGATTTTGGCCACGGGGGAAAAGGTATCACAATAATCAAGCCCATATATTTGAGTACATCCTTTAGCCTCTAATCAGACCTTAAGATGATCAAGTTCACCATTAGGCCCAACTTTAATGGCATAGACCCATCTACAACCAACAGTCTTCCTAGGTGGAAGAGGTTCTAGTTTCCATGTACCACTAGTTTCAAGAGCCTACATCTCAGCAACCATGGCTTGTCTCCATCTAGAATGAGATAATGCTTCATTGATATTTTTAGGAATGGTAATGGAAGACAAGGATGAAATAAAAAAACAAAATGAGGGAGATAACCAATCGTAACTCAAAAAATTATAAATAGGATGGGGATTTCGGGTAGATCAAATACCTTTTCGAAGAGCAATTGATCAACTAGAATCTTCATCAATCAGAACCATTGTAGGGAAAGCTAATGGTGAAGGACATGAAGCAAATGGGTTTCCATGTGATGTTGAACCAACTTTTTTAGATCTTCGTTGGTAAGTGATGAGAGATGGTGAAGATGACTCAAGTGGACAAGTGGTTGGAGGATGACTTGGATCTATGTCTTGATTGAGAGACTCTTGAGAAGGAGACAACATTGGCTCAAAATATGGAATAGGTAAGCATGTTGGACAGATTCAAAAACTTGCACCGAAGAAGAGGAAACAGGAGTTTCTTCAAAGAAGGTGACATTAACAGACATGTAATATTGTTTTGTGTTTGGGGAGTAGCAATGATACCCCTTTGTTGAGAATTGCCAAGGAAAACACATTTAATAAACTGGGTAGAGAGCCTGTCTAAACCTAGAGACATATCATGGACAAAAAAACACAACCAAAAAAGTATGAGGAGAAACAAGAAATAAAGCTTCATTTGGGAAAAGAATTGAGTGTGGAATTTTATTTTGAAGAGAGAAGGATGACATTCTATTTAATAGAAAACACACAATAAGAATTGCATCACTCCAATAATGATGCACAGGAACATTGGCACTCAGTAAGAAGGTAAGTGCAGTCTCAATCATATGTCTATTTTTCTCTTTCTGCTATACCATTTTGTTGCGGGGTATGAGAACCGGTAGATTGATGTAAAATACTGTGTGAGGTTAGAAAATAGGTAAGGTAAGAAGAAAAATATTCCTTAGCATTATTACTCTTGAGAATTTTGATTGTTTTTCCAAACTAATTTTTAATTTCATTGTAAAAGGACACAAAAATAAGGAAAAGTTTAGATTGATCTTTCATTAAATAGACCAAAGTACATCAAGAATATTCGTCAATGAATGTAACAAAATATCTGAACCCAAAAGATGTGACACGACTTGGACCCCAAATATCTTAGTGAATGGTGGAAAAAGCAAAGTTACATCTTGTTTTAGTTCTCTTTGGAAAATGAGATCTAACATGTTTTCCAAATTGACAAGACTCACTCTAAGAATTGAAGTTTACTAAGCCTATGGACCATTTTCTTCAATTTTGACGAGTTTGGATGACCGAAGTGATCATGTAAAAGTTTAGGAGACTGAGATGTAAGACAAGATACAAAGGGGCTGGTTCCAAAATAGTAGAGACCTCTGGATTCATGTCCTTGTCCAATCAACCGACCCATACCACATTGTTGTATCACAAAGGAATTGGCATCAAAGGTTACAAAACAGTTTAATGATTTGGTTAATTGACTTATGGAGATTAAATTAAAAGCAAACTTTGGAACAAAAAGGACATATTCTAGATTTAAGGAGGGTGTGTGAGAAACTTGACTAACTCCTTGAGAGATAACTTTGGATCCATTGGCTAAGGTGAAGTGAGGTATTTTAGATGAAAAGATAGAACAAAATAAGGAGTCATCATCGGATATATGATTAGAAGCACCATAATCTATTATCCACAAGCCTTGACTTTCCATAGATTGAGAAATACAGGCTGGTGAAAAACTAGGTACAGAAGCTGTCATCCTATAGTAACTGGTGAAAAAATGAGACTCACGGAGAAAATGAACAGTAGACCCAAGATCCAAACAATTTTTAAAGAAGAAACCAAGGCCTGAGACGAAATCTGGTGATGTGCAACACAGGTGGCCCAACAATTCGTCCCGGTGATTGTAGGGCTAAGAAGCAACGTGTAGGGGTGTGCCCGGAGGTTTTAGCCTCTGATCTCGATTGGGTGGTGGGATTGCTTTCAACGAGGCGACCCAGATCCACCAGATCTCTGCTGACTTACACGGTGGCAGATAGTGGCCATAGGTGACAAATGGATGCTGGAGACAATGGATGATGACCGGTGATAGTGAGGGACAACAGAGCGGGACCAAACTTGTTGTGATACCAACTTGAATTTGAAAGCTTGACTGAAAGTATTCTGGTGTCACACACCTCCAGATCTGAATATTATATATATATTTATGTATGTATGATAGAGAGAGAGAGAGAATGCAAAATAAGAGTGAAAGGGATGACAACATATCCCTTGGTACAGAAGGTAAAAAGAGAAAAGACAATAAAAAGGAACAGCCTTGTATAGAGACAAAATATAAAATACTAGATACATAAATCTCACAGTATATAATCTAACACTTTGCTAATCTATTATTAGCTTTCTGCTAAAACCTATAGATGTTTACAAGTCTGTTGCATAGTTTCCTTACTGGTATCAGGAACTACATTATTTTTCCTCTTCTCTGTTTTTACTTTCAAAGTCTAAAACTAAAATGATAAATCTGTCAGATTCTTACAAAATCTGCTTTTGCAAAGTTTACTTAATATTATCTGATCAATTTTTTTGCTATTGTCAATGAATAGGTGCTTTTTTTAATTTAGATGCATGCATCTCCTTGGATGACATGAGTATACATATATATATTTTTTTGTAGGTTCTATGTCTTCTGGCACCTCTATTTCCAAAAAATATCAATTTGTTTTGGCAAGATGAGGTAACATTTTTGGCTAAAAATTAATGATATTCGATTGAAATCTCTAGTTCTTTGTGAATTTCCCTACCTTTTTCTAAAGGTTGAGAATCAGTCAAGTTTTCGGTTATACATTATTATTGAAGCATGTCATACAATAGCAAATAAATATTGATGATGGTTTAGCATTCTCATCTCTTAATTGTGCACCTATTGATATAAATTGTGGGATCATGAAATTTTGCTCTTTGTTGGGCTTTTTGATCCTCTAATGTTTTTTAGATGAAGCAAACAGTTTAATACATCTGATAATATTGTACCAAACGTGGCTGCATAATTCTGTATATTTTTATTGATAAATCAACAAAAAGCTTCACTTGTGTTCATTTTATAATATAGTTTGTCACAATATGTTTTTTTTTTTTTTTTTTTTTTTATA